CCACATATATTATTGATGATTGATTGGGAGCCTCTAACAGCCATACATGATTTATTAAAAGACATTTAGTTCAGCAGCGGCCGCTGTAACTTGGCTGCTGGTGTTTCCAAATATATGCTCACTTTTTACCCACACATTAACCCCTCCCCGCTGACGCATCCTACCTGCCCCACGAGCAAGACACTCATTGTAATTCCTGAATCCTATTAGGATTGGCCCCAGAGTCGGCCTCTGCTTAGCAAATAAATAATGGTAATGATGATGATCCCTCATCTTGTCACTGGGGCTCTCCCCCGAGGGAGGCGCAGTGCAGGTGGAGGGAGCCTCTCCTGGTCTAATTGGTTCCAACCCTACAGCCTTCTCTCAAGCCTTTTCTCTCCCTCCCTCTCTCACCCTCTCTCTCTCTCTCTCTTTCTCTTAGGGCCCCAGCCAGTGTGTATGAGCGTGTGTCATCATCATCTTTATTTTATTCTTGTCTCTGCATAAAAAAAAAAAAAAAAAAAAAAAAAAATCACACTCACACACATCAGCACTTCCAGTCTCTCTGTCCTCGTCTCCCTCTGCTCACACAGATGGATGGAAGTGAACCGACACACACACACGCACATGCACAGATAGCAGATAGGAGGACACAGATAGGAGGACACAGAGACAGAGACACAAAGTCTCATATGAATGGTACTGAATGGTACTGTGTCTGCATGGGTGTCACTTCCTGCTGCAGTGTCTTTTTAACGGGCATTTAAACACGTTGAAAAAACATCGCATCATTAAACTAGAATTACAGGTTGCAGGAGCAGTATCACTAAAACTCATTTGTCCCATTTAGAGACTCACTCTGTGGACAGAAATCAACAACCAGTCGTGTGACTGAGTCAAACATGACAGACGTAAGACAGAAGACTGAAGTTGAAGAACGACTTCCTGTCGGTGATTCCTTTCAGTCAGTTTGACTTAAGTCGTCTGGGAATTATCATTTTTATTCTCTAAATCAGGGGTTCTCAACCCCTGGTCTGTGGACCGGTGCCGGTCCAGAGGTCAAGAATCCAGTCATATCCCTTATATAATCTGTCAAAGTTTCAAAACAACAGGTCATTCAGACTCTCATACTAACAGAAGAAAGTCTAGAAGATGTTTTATTTTGAAAATGTAATGATCAACGATGGCGCGAATTACCAGTCAAACATTCTTCCAATAGGTGGCATCTATCATGACGTGGGCAACAATTGTCTTAAAATTGAACAGGGGGGGGCCGGGTCAGGAGCAGATAGATGGAGCCCTTGTGTGAACTAAGGTAAATGCTAAAATGCTTTAGCATTCTCTACGCCATCTATTGGGGAAATGTGGGTATTGCAGGGAAAAGGCAGAAGTATCATGATAATATAAATAAATGATATAATAAATGATATGATATAATTTTGATATAATAAAGTTTGGTTGGGCTGATTAAAAAGCTGAACAGGCCGCATTCGGCCCCCAAGCCATAGTTTGCCCCACAGCACATCCATCTCCTCAGCTCATTACAGTTTCATTTTTTTGTTTTTTAGCTAGATGACTGTTATTCTCAATGTGTGACGGAGTAATGGAGACTAATAACTGCAAAAATCACGTGATTTTTTTTTTGATAAAGCAGTGGGAATAAAAGACAAGTCACTTCAGCAACTGTGCTGTAGAATCAGATAATCAGACATTTTTTCTCCCAAAATCAATATCTTCTCTGCAAGGTATGCAAGAGCGTCTCTAACACGGTTTTATGTTTTTGTTTGTTTGTTTGTTTGTTTGTTTGTTTTTTCTCACGCTTTCACGTTTCTCAGCAGCTGACGGAGAAAAAGATGGATTTTTCTTCTTCTTCTTCTTTCTCTTGGGGACTGGCTGTAAATGTGATTCTGAACGCAGCGGGTCAATGTGCTGAGACAGAGACTGGAGATGCATCACTTTTCGGCGCATTCACATGTGCTCCGGCGGTGGCATCTCACAAAGTTGTTTCGTTCTCCGTGCTGCGCGATGCCCCGGCAGCTCGTGTTGCAAATGACACATCACACGTTCCCGGAGGCTTCCGTAGAGGTGGCAAGACGTGTCTCATACTTGACACCTCGAACTCCAGAGTAAGTGAAACTTCGATCAGTGCCGTAGACTACAGACCTTAGGAGCGTTTCGATCTGCAGATCACGTGTGCGTGAGGTGTGTCAACTCTTCGTTCCTCTGGTTTTTACCACATGCTGTCAGGGGCGTCGTCGTCTGGTGTGGACAGTTCTCAGCTTCACGGGTGTTGTTCACAGTGAACACACTGTGAATTCAGAGCGAATCAACGGGATCGTTGGCTTTAAGGTTGGTGCGACGGCGACATCTGTTGGTTAAAAACACCATTACATATAGCCAGATAGCTTGTATTTGAATGCGAATGTTTTAGATTTTGTTTAGATTTTTTTAATTTTTTTACTGAAACCACGCTGAGGAAATTGATATGTAACACTGACGAAAGAGGAGGAAAAATAATCTTTAAAAATAGAATGAACTAAAACTGAGGAAGTTCCTCAGCTGAGTCCTCTGTATTTACACAAACATTCATTGTAGCTACACTGATGTTAAGAGTCTGAAAATAGCAGTTGAAAAAAGGAAGAAAAAATATATTTATATGTTATATATATATTTAATATTTATATTTTTGCTATTCTTGAGTTGGTCTTGTGATATGTTTATGGTATGGGTAACAATTATTTAAAAATAAATATGGTTAAAAAAGTGTGTTGAAAAAAATGGTGATGATGATGATGATGAAGATGATGAGTCACGGTGGATGTATCTGTACACTGTTGCCCTGGAAACAGAGACAAGCCTTTTTGCTCATCACCAGTGGTAGAAAACATGAGCTCCAGATAATTGTACATAAATAATGTTTTTTCTAATAACAAGGCTGTATATCTCTATACTTTTTATTATTTGATATTCTTCCTCACTTCATTATTTTCTTTAGTTCTAGATTATATATATATATAAAATCTAATTCCAGCATAGAAATATAAAAACAGAGCTCCATCATAGAGATTACCTGCAGATTCTCAGCTGGCTTTTCTTTTCTTTTTTTTCTTTTTTTACTGTGATTCCCACCAACAGTGAACTGGTCTTGCCCTCTCACCAGTTTCT